TGGCGCCTAATTGATAGGGCGTCTTTTAAAAAAAAAAAAAAAATAGTACAGCCGAACGGCTATACGCCGTGTTTTTATTTTTTTTGAAAAATAGACTTGTGCTGACACGTGGCGCCTAATCGATGGGTTCACTTTTTTTATATGAAAAGATAGTATAGCCGCATGGCTATACGATTTTACACGTGGGCGCCTAAGTGCTGTGCTGCTGCTCTGTTTTGTTTTATAGTAAATAGTATAGCCATGCGGTTATAGATTAAGCATGGTAGAAAAATGACCATCAATTTCACTCAAATTTGTTGCGATCCTAAAGTCCGCAACTTGTTCAATTCATAAGTTTTATCTATTTCTGAAAGAAAAAAAGCTACTATATTTATTAGCAAAACCATCCCGAATTGTTATACCATGTCAACCATGGCACCAAAACAGAACATAAAGCAAGAGAGAAGATGAATTGAAAAAAGCACAAGAAAAACTCTTATTTTTTTTATTTTTGGTCAAGGCAAACTCCATTTATTAAATATGTAAAAACATTACAAGAGTTTGAATGCTGAATAGCGTAGGTGGAAGCACAAGACATTGGCCCAAAATATTACAAAACAGAATTTTAATATAAGCAAGGCCCAAATACAAAGCTTCAAACCAAAACAACCCTAAAACTGAAAACAAGTTGCAGCCGCACCATCCACAGGAAAGCACCAAATCACCATTGCAAATTTATTATCTTCCAAATAGATGATTGTATCCCCTTGTTTATTGAATTGAAGTAACTTATTATCTGTCACAGACTCACAGTATGGGCACTATGTGTTGAGAGATAAGTGCTTTGATTGTCCAGATGATTGGAAAATTGTTTTAAGTGTTGGAACTTTGTGCCGGTAGGCTGTATCTATGGTAAGTAGACTTCGTACCCCTGGGTTGGGTTCTGGAAGATATTACTTGGTAAATGGGTGGGTATGCTTGAATTCAGAATGGTAAAGTTTAAAGTACAGAATGGCTTATTAAGTGTCCAAAAATAATAAAATTAATCAATTATCCAAACTAATTAATCAGTTTGAACTCTTCAGATGATTTTTTGTCTAGCCCTACTACAAGAGCCACTAAGGCATCTTCCCTCTAAATCGAATTTTAAAGGACAAATGTAAGGATCAATTGTACATGAACTATATACAATTACGTATTTACCCATTCTAACCCTCGTTTTAGGTAAAAAAATTACATTTTTCCACAGGTTAAAGTTTTTGTGGGGCTTCAATCCTAATAATGGATCAGGTATGAAGGATAGAAATTGAGTATGGGGAAACGTTTGGGGAAATTTCCGTGTATGGTGTTGGAAGTAGAGCGGGGATGGTATTCTAATCCCCAACCCGAACCCACCTTATTTAAAATATATATTATTTATTTTTCATATGAATATTTTATTAAGCCCCTCCTTCTAACTACTCTCACCAAATATCATATTCCCCATATCATATTATATACTGAATTAAATAATACATACAAAAATGTAAGTCTAAAACAAAACTTGTGTATTGTATGTTTAGTTTCTAACTTTTTTTTTCTCATTCATAAATTGGTTTTTTATTGGTACTTTTGTAATAGGGTGGGACGGGAGGGGGTATTAGTTCCCCAACGAAGGCGAGGATGGGGAATCCCCAATTTGAATATTAGGGTAAGGAGGCGAGGATAAGGGATGAAAGCTTAACGGGGATGGGAATGACATACACATCCCCGATTCGCCCCATTGTCATTCTAACCCTCGGTTTATAACTTTTTTGGGTTAACAAACGGGCACTAGGTCCAAGCATAATGCCACACCTTCCGTTTATTTCATAAGGAGAAGGGAGAAGGTCCAAAAGAGAAAGTTAGAGAGAATATTGCTAGCATTCCTATTTACTTAATTATGAGCTAATAACATTAAGTCGTTTGAGTTAATTCTTTTTGTTGAATTTTTTAACATTATTATTTCTAGCTTTATCTCTGAAGACAATTACAATTTATCATCTTCATACCTTTGTTTTTTTGGTTAATTGGGTGACCAATTCATCGAATAGCCTTTATATTATCTAGATCAATAAGAACAGTTTATAATTTTTTATTCCAACATCACGAGATGTTATCATAGTCACATTTATACGAGGGCTATATTTAAACGAGGAGGAATGCTATTCACAATCGCTCTAAAGCGATTCTCACGACACTTGCTAGACACGTGTACACGTGTTCCCAATGTATTCTCCTTTTTATTTTTTTATTCTTCTCTCTTTCTTTCTCTCGGTTGCCTCGCGCTCTCTCTTATCTCTCTTCTTCTTCTCTCCGTCTCCCTCCCTCTCTTTCTTTTTTTAATTTTCTTTCTCTTTCTTCTTCTACTTTTGTCTCTCTTTTATTCTTCTTCTTCTTCTTCTTAGTCTCCGTATCTCTCTCTGTGTAAATTTGGTTAAATGCCAGATGCCAAATACTGGAGGCAGAGATTTGAGAGGGAGGGATTATAGAAACCCCCAAAATTTCATAACCCAGAAAGGTTCACAACCCCCAATTTTTTTTCCGATAGTGCGAATATGGCCAAAGAAGAAAACTGGCGGAGAGAAAGTAGGAAAAAAAAAAAAAAAAAAAGTTTCTATAATCCCTCCCTCTCAAATCTCTGCCTCCAGTATTTGGCATCTGGCATTTAACCAAATTTACACAGAGAGAGATACGGAGACTAAGAAGAAGAAGAAGAAGAATAAAAGAGAGACAAAAGTAGAAGAAGAAAGAGAAAGAAAATTAAAAAAAGAAAGAGAGGGAGGGAGACGGAGAGAAGAAGAAGAGAGATAAGAGAGAGCGCGAGGCAACCGAGAGAAATAAAGAGAGAAGAATAAAAAAATAAAAAGGAGAATACATTGGGAACGCGTGTACACGTGTCTAGCAAGTGTCGTGAGAATCGCTTTAGAGCGATTGTGAATAGCATTCCTCTTAAACGAGAATGATATGATTGTTAACATATCTTTAGGATGAAAGTTATGACTTCTTTTAGAGCACCAATAAATTGAGTTATGAGTTTTTTTTCTAAGGAGCCGAAGCTCATAAACAAACTTCTGGGTCTTGCAACCCCACTCAAATCTTGCAGTAACTACAAATGCATCGAAAACAAATGTGCAATTACATGGAGTTAAGATATTGGGGAAAGCTAATGACATATAACCATTCAATAATATTAGAGGCACCAACTCCCCACCCTCCCTAACTCCCGTAGCCCCAACCCCACCCACCCTCTGGCTTCTCTAAAATGCTTTGCCCTTTTCTGGTGACAACTGCATTCTCCAAGGATTCAATCCAGTAATGTTCGGATTTCTCTACGCGTGCTGCAAGACTTGGATCGTCAGCTCCTTCCCAGCCTTCACTCATGGATCGGCCTTGCCTCACCAGAGCCAGCTCCTCTAGACCCACATGTATATAAAGTTTTTACAAATTACAGCTTAAAAGTTCATGAAAAAAAAAAGGCTTGCAAATCGAGGACTTACCGCCTTGCGCCCCACGTAGAGTCTGGAAGCCTTTGAGGTGCTATTAAGAAATTGGTCCACAACACAAGGGAAGTTCTGCCCATCATCCCAATTAAAGACTTTTTTATTGAGGTGCTATTAAGAAATTGGTCCACAACACAAGGGAAGATTGGACCATGTTCCCATATTATTGATCGAGTCCCTTCAATCATAGGGTGTTTCTAATAACATAAATGAACCTAAAAAAATATGTATATTTCAAAATGATAAACAACTAAGAATTTTAGTTGTTCAAAGGCGTAATAGTAACTGTAAACTATATTATGTTGAAGTGAGTCTCCTAATTAATCAAGGAGATTTATTTCCTTGATTAATTAGGGGATTTACTTTCCTATTTTATAGATTTATTTCCTTTGGTTAATTAAGTGATTTACTTTCCTATTTTATAGAGTTGTCAAATCATTGTATAATTAAGAGATACTTTCCTAATCCTTTACTGGATCTAATTCATTGTAAAGCTCTCATGTAAACTCTTATATATATCTCCTTATGGAGAAGAATAAAAATAAGAACCTAACATATTCAAACTCATATTCATATTTTAGCATATTAGCCATTCATTACGCGATTCATATTAATCAACGGTTGTGAATTCTCACATGCATTGTGACGCGTAAATATAAGCCGTTAGGAAAATTCAACTAATTAGAAAAACAAATTTTTTCTAATCCTGCTGGAAAGTGGAAAAAACACAGTATAGCCGAACGGCTATTCTATTCCTTTTTTAAAAACTTCTGAAAAAGGGACCCTCCTAGTTGCATTAGTTTACTTTATAGATATTAATTTGGTATAGCCGTGTGGCTGTACAAATAAAATACGTTAAACAACTAAAATGCTTAGTTGTTTATATAATTTTCTTATTTCCTCCCATAAAAAAAATTAATATCTCATTTTCTTCCCATTTACTTTTCTATATAAACTAAATTATAACAACCTCATTCCAAACAACATTCATTTCACTTGTTTATATAATTTTCTTATTTTCTTTTGGTAAGTAATCTCTCTTTGTTGCAACCCAATCTAACCTGACAATTGTAATCTTATTGCAATTCAAAGCATAACTTATACAAACTTAGGATTTTGAAATATCTCCATAATAAGATCTCTCAACAGACAATTTACTAGACTGCAAGTAACATCATACTCGTGTCATTCTCGTATCAAGTAACATTATATTGAACTGATTCATAAACTAACAAAGATATTATTCAGTATTTCCGACGGTCAAATTCAAATTCCAACTTCCAAAATGATCATATAGCATCAAGATACATTATCTATCCTCCAAAAGATTAAAAAATAACTATTGTTCTATGCGTCTATAAGACTGCCTTTTACAATTTCTCTTCATTGTAAACCAGTTTTTTGGGTTTAAAAAAAAACTGTTTTCAGTACTTGAAACCGGAAACTGTTTTTCTTTGAATGAAATATTTGCCCACCACCAACTGTTAATGAACTAAGAGCAAAATAAAAAACTTTCAATTTCCTTGATTAACTCCACTAGGGAAGATTAGAATCTCCCACCCAATAGGTTAAAATCTGAACTACAACCCGTTTTTTTCCTTCACCTGGTGTAAAGGGTCCACAATTAGCAGCACAAACGTGCTTGCCATCAATAATCTATGTCACCTTCTTCCCTAAAGATCTTGCAGTTCACCGACTCCTGTAACAATCAGCGTGCACAAAAGGGCATAACAAATTGCCCAAATGAGATCACGTTGATATCTCCCGACAAATATTATCAATAGAGAACTGCTAAAATCAGTATATCCATTCTTAAAGTTGACATAATGTTATATTTTTCACGCTAAACAAGTATGACTTCAAACTTTGCACATGGGTTGCTTTCAACATGTCTTCTAAAATCAGCATCCCCATTAAATCTGAAGGTATATAAGGCTTGCCTCTGTGTCATGCCAACAGGGTATATTCTATATATTTTAAAATCGTCTCCTCCTCTTATGCTTTCAGGTCTTTCCTCTTTCCAAATCGGCACATGTTTCTGAGACTTGAATTTTGTGAGCACCAGAGACTCAAAAGCTCCAAGAGTCAGATTGCCAGACCTGCCCAGAACAATTACAAATAAGATTTTTCTCCAATTTTGGGAACAGAAAAAAAAATTAGGGGACTTCTCGACACTCTGTGGTGACAAAAGTACTTATTTTATCTTTAACCATGCTGTCTAAAGTACATGCAATAACGCAACAGAAAGCTAAAATAAAAGGTAGTTAATGATGCGCCTCCCCTGCTCCAACTTTAGAGCAATGACAACTAGTTTTCACTTTCTCTTTCCCTCATGTTCTGGATATATCAAAACAAGTTGGCCGGTAATCTTTCAGCATAAGTTAAGAATGGTGAGGTTACCCCAGTATTGCAGTAAGGGGTGGGGTGGTAACTGATACTAGGGAAATGAAGTTACCTTAAGAAAATAGATTCCATCCCGAACCTCCCTCTTTCTCTTACATATAAGTGATAGACAACTGCTGAGCCTCTGGTGCACTTGCAAGGTCGACTTCTGGACCCTTGGCTCATTTCTTCTTTCTCGCGAATCATCGTTGCCAGGTGAATGCAAAGACGGCATGATGAATGTACTGCAGCCATGTCCACAAGGGCCTTGAAGGAATCGGATGGACCCTCATATTTCCACCTAACCATTAAAAATCTCATATAAACTTCATAAAGAAACAAAATTGAGAAGATTTTTTTTTTAAACATGTAACTGAAAAGAAGAAAAAGAGAAAGAAAACAACTAATGATCATAATAATGACCATTATTCTGTTCTTTACACGTAAAACCAAAGGATTTGGAAGATAACCTTTTCAACTAGATAAGAAAAAGAATTTGACCTTAATGACTGATTATATGCTTCAGGATTATCTGCAAGGTATTTCATTCTCTTGGCAACTGGTTCAACATCGTTTATCTCCTTAATATGTAAAACTGCACCAGGAGCAGGAGCAAAATCTTCAATATTCGGAGCTCCAACCACCACAGGTATAGACCCTGAAAGAAAGATGTCAGCATGCAATCTCAGCATCATTCCCGAACTTGAGTATGCAGATGAGAATTTTGCTTTTGGCAGCTGAAATGCAATATTCCTCCTTATGCATGATAATAATCCTTATACTGAATGTGAGAATGGAACCCACGAAATCTTACAGATGTTAGAGGCAACACATCGCAAAATCAAAGATGAAGGCACACACTAATAGTCTTCCATCTATATTGAAATCTCTCAAATTTGTTTATAGAATATTACCAAGATTTACACAAAATCAAGCAATGGTTCTCTGAATTTTTTCCTCCATAAAAAGTTTCCCATATTATAGGTTGAAACTATAAAATCAACAAGAGAGAGAGAGAGACAGAGAGAGACAGAGACAGAGAGAGAGAGAGAGACACAGAGACAGAGAGAGAGAGAGAGAGAGAGAGAGAGAGAGAGGAGTTTCATACCAGCAACAAGAGATTGGAAGTATTTCTCAGTAACATAATCCTCCTCGTTGGAATTCTCAAAGGCCAAACTAAATTTATAGCGCTTCAGAGTTTCAACTTTGTCCACTGCTAGATTTATTTATAAAAATAAGAAGAAAAAAAATTATTTACCATGCGTAAATGTTAACAAGAAGAAGATATAATACCACAGATCATATACATCTTATCACGTTAAAGAAACCAAAACATAGTAAATCAGTTTATCCCCCAAAAGATCCTACTCTGCAAATGTTGTACACATGCATGCATATTCTAATCCTTCAAGCAAGACCATTCCCGGTTCACTGTTGCCACATACCCAACAAAATCAAAGATTGATTCAATAGGTTTTTCACAGCATCTTCATAGAGCCAACCACATGTATATACCGTAAAGAACGAAATCTATAAACTCTTTGTGTACCCAAAAAGGTTGTAATGTAACCATTTTTTAGTGAAGATACAAATGACATCTCCACAAAAGATTGTGATATTTATCTTCTTTTCTCTTTTACTGCATTTCATTCAATATGCCAACAATTTAGCCAATATATGGAAATCAAGTCCAACGTGATTGCAAAATTAGAACTACTGAGCATAATCAGAAAAAATAACAATACTATCCAAGCACATGCAGCGGGTTTAAGGGACACCAGAATCAATATAGGTCTGACTTACCACGTTATAGCAACATTAACTAATCGGTAAGGTGCCTACCCATTAGATCAAGAAATTTTTCTTAGAAAGTCCAACTTCCAATATATATGTCCTTATGGCAAGGGAAAATAATTTATAAGCAAATAAATAGCCATGGAGAAAGGAAAAAAATATTATCTGGGTGGCTGTTAATCTATTTCAGACCAAACAGCCAAGCATTGGGTAAGATTAGACCTCCCCTCAAAACACAATAAATTGTATTATCTACAAGCCAGTATGAAGCCCACGAAGAATATTTTCAACCATAAACAAAACAAGGCCACAACAATTGAACCACAGTTAGTCGCAAACTTCGTATGACGTGCCAAGCAAGCATGACATACTTATGAAAGCATGCAAGCAAAGGAAGTTAGAATCCAGATTCTAATGATTTACCATGGAAGGAAACGAGCAAAAACACAATATTATTACTTTACAAATCATCAGTGAAATGTCCACACCTTTTCCATCACGGTTTCTGTGGCAACCACCATAAGAATCTATCTTGATCTTAGCACTTTCAAGTGCTTCAAGGGCTTGCAAGCGGAAGTTGCGGGCACCACAGTTGGAAATAAATGCAGCTGCAAGGGCAGTCTCAGTCTTTGGCTGGACAGGTGCCATGATGTTGTACTCAGCCCAAGAAAAATATCCAACTGGAACATCCGATGAGAGACTGGTTGTCATAATAATATTATATCCCCTCCTAGTACACAGAAAAGAAAAAAAAAAAAGCTTAAACTATTACTTATACAAACAAGTTTTACAAGAAATAGCATTCTCATTCTGAGAGTTCCAGACCCCGCCCCACTAAACAGCAGGAATGTGATTTAGAAATGACTACGTAATTCCAATTGGCTACATACAATTATCCCACCAGCACACTTCAGCTTATAATTAATAGACATAATTACAAGCAATACCATACAGTATGCAGCACAACATCATCATCATGTGGGTTATGCTCATTACCTATAACAGCTGCACGGCCAAAAAGGCCAAAAAATGAGAAGTATGTTAAAAGTATTCCCTGCTACTTCCTTTTTCATTTTTTGAGGAATCCTTTTTCTTATCCTAAATGCTTGTTTAATCAGGAAAAGAAGATACAGAATTAAATTCATGTTTTAAAAAATATTTAAAAAATAACGAAAGTAATTTGGAGAAAGCATGGAAATCATGAACACCTTGTTTCTTTCAGGATGATTGGACAATTAGACTATTGACATATGAAACATTTCCACCAATGTTTAATGTTATATAGATAAAACAATATATTTCAGCATTTCAAATTTGAGGGTACATTTTGCCAGAAAACAAGTCTAAAAAAATCTTGAAAGCATTGAAGGAAGATTTGCTTAATACGTTGTACAAGATTTACAATTCATATGAGAACGGGATTACATGTTAGAAAAGAAAAGAAAAATTCTTCTAAAAATGCAATAAGGCCATATTTGTTTGTGCTTACCCACCGTCGTGCATAAGCAAGATTGTTCTCTGCATAGTATTGAGCTGATTCCATGGATCGGAGAACACTGGCTGTCCCAGTTTGGTGAGCTAAGCCAAAAGCAGCATCGGGTTTTTTGCTGGGATTGAATCCAAACTGGCATCCCACAGAACAAGATTTCCAATCCTATACAGAAGTGAACCAAAAGCAATTGGGTCAGTTATATCCCAAAATTCCATGTTGAAGTCCCAAGAACGAAGACTCAATTCATTATACTGAAATGTTAAAAATGACAGAGAGGCCCATTTCAATACAAATACTAAGTCTTCTTTTAAGGATTATTTCCGGGACCCAAAGGAGAATTAGAACTATCAATGTCACATACAAATACCTCATTTTTATGATACTGTCACAATTTGTCAACTGATGTAAGTCGCATCAACTTTTCTCTCTCTCAAGCACTGCCAATTCCAAATCTTTCTTTTTCATTTTACCCAACAAGATTTTTTAAGATGGAGATCAAACCCAAAAAAAACCTAAAAAACTAAAATGGCCTAGGTCCCCCACCGCTAAACCCATGATAAGAACTTGGCAAGACTAACATAATGCAGTCAAAAAATAAATATCGAACTTTTACATCCTGATTTCAGTGTCAAGGATCGATAGCTCAAGTTATAAGAACTAGGCAATACTAACATAATGCAGTCCAGAAGCAAATATCAAACTTCATATCCTGCTTAGAGTGACAAGGATCAATAACTTAAGCCGTGTAAGGTCTTACAGCAATTCAACCTCGTACTGTTTTGCTCACTCATGTCATGAAAATTGTAATGTTGTATAATTGACATTACAGAAGAAGATGTCATCATTCTCAAAATCACACCACTGCCCCACTTTCAACAACTAAACCCCAATTAATGATGCCACTTAATCAACCAGAAAAACCATATTAAAAGAAAAGATAACTACTTCATTCATTGTTACACAGAAATAAAAACACAATTACACCCATATCAAAAATATAACGACTAATAAAAACTGCACATACCTTCTCATCACCGGAAACCAAAATGGGTTCTTTCTCAAAATCCCTGGAATACTCTACAGCATCCTCTCTCTCCAACCACTCCTCGCAACTCAGGAAGCCCAAATCATCACTCTCCACCACCACTTCATGAATCAACGGAGCCGGGGAGAACAAGTCGGCCCACGAATCGACTAAAGCTGTGTTCTTTGCGATGTCAAGCTTACCCAAGAAGGCGATCTCCGCTATGACCACAAGGATCACAAAGAGAGGCATCAGATTGGACCATTTTCTCTTGGGCGCCGTCGAAACCCCACCAGAGACCGGCAAGCCGTCTTGGGTCATCGCTGTTCTCGAGCCTCTTTGAGTCGAAAACACGCCCATCAAACAAAACCAATCACTCTGTTTTCTAGGTCGTCCTGTCTTTCCCGAGAAAGAGAAAGAAAGGTCGAGAAAACGAAGGAAGCAGCTTGAAATGGGGGCTGTGTGTGGTGTTCAGCAAAGGAACATAACGGGGTTTGGTGCGGTCTTCGATGGAAAAGAAGAAATGGGTTTAATCAAATGATTTTCATTGGTGAGGGGAGAGGGGAGAGGTTGATTTTTCTTTAGTTGCAAGTCAACTACAAGATTGAAGAGTGGGATGAGATATGAAGAATATTCAATTTGTTTTTGTTTTGGAGGAGAAGCAATAAAAACATTGGTTTTGTTGTTCGACAAAAGATGGAAACACTGTAAGGACATCGGCCCAACAATTCAAACTAGCCATGTCCCCGATTTCCTTTGATTTTTGGGTTAATGACCAAGATCGTCCCAACTATCTCATTTTGGTCCATCAACTAAAATTTTCAATTCAAACGTCCTTAAATTTTTCATTTAGTATCAAAATGGTCATTCTGTAACATTTTTCGTTAAATCGGATCACGTGGATGGCACATGCTCCAAATTTAGGGGTAAATTGGACTTTTTACCAAAAAATAAAAACCCCCAATTCCCTCATCACACCCCCATCTGTCCCACCCTCATTAACATCCCTCACAAAAAACCCCAGCCACCACACACGCCGATTTGCCTAACCTACAGCTGCACCTCTCTCTCTCTCTCTCTCTCTCTCTCTCTCTCTCTCCATGTGCGCCTCTTGATCAGCATCTTGGCCGCCGTCCCGCACGGCTCTTCAAAGGCGGTTGAAACCCATCAGCATCTTGGCTACCGTCCAGTACAACACCCCCTGCCCATCAGCATCGGTCAGCACCAAGCTATCAAGCGGTTTGTGCTCGGAAATGATGGGCCGAAGCAGGTAGTGCCTGGCCGAGGCAGCGATCAACGAGCTTATCGTCCAGACCACCCTCAGCTTCAGGCCTCCGTTGGTGTAAAACGAGTCGGGTATGCTTCCGTTGTCTTCCGAAACGGCCCCGTTGGTGTTGGCGCAAAACCCATCTGCCCCATTGTCCTGAATGTATGGGACGACGGCCAATGGTTGTAGAGACTCAGAATCAAAATCCACTAGAGCACTAGGAAACAGAAACGCAACAAACACGACAACATACTCCATTTGCACTCACTCACTGCTTTCAATCAAGTCTACGTTTTGCTTCACAATAATCATGCTATGAGAATTTGGGAGTGGGTTCTGCTGAATTGAAGAGGGGTTGGTTGAAAGCCCAAAACTTGAAATCATAGTAGTAGCAAGAGATGGTGGTAGAGAGATAAGGAGTCGAACATGGTTTTGATTTGAGTGGGAGCGAATGGGTAGAAGACTGTGATGGGTTTGAGTAAGATTTTTTTGTGGAAGCCATGGAAGCCACTGTGTGTGCTTGCTGAGGAAGGGAAAGTCAGATTTTTATTTTTATTTTTTTGGGTTTTAGATAAGAGTGCTACTATTTCCACTCTCAATCCTATTTCCCCACCCACCTTATCTTCCCACTCACCATGTAAATTTGAAAAAATATAATCCTATTTTTACACCCACCATTATTCCTAAAATACCTTTTAATTATTAATTCAAGCAAATTCTCCTTACTTTCATTCAAAGCATGCTTCAAACCTTCAACCCTTACCAATCAAAATGCATGGGATCCTCTGTAAAGTATTATTAAATATTAAAAAATAAATAAAGAAAATCACTCTCAATGTTCATCGTCTCTCCACCGAACGAAAACAATAACGGAGAGAAATACTAGAATTAGAAAGAAGACGAAGAGCAAACTGAGCAAATGAAACAGAAAGTCTGTGCCCTTGGGTTCAGAAACTGAGGAGAAATCTGATGGAATTGGATTGGACCCAGCTGGAAATTTTGAAGCTTTATTGGAATTTTGATTTGGGTTTGGTCGGGATGAGGGAGAGAGAGAGGGGTTGGGGTTTGACAAGGATGAAGGAGAATAGGTGTTTTTTATTAAATCTAAAGTCCTTAAAAGTCATTTTACAAATGGATATATTTGTTTGTAAATTTTGAAAATAAGGTGGGTGGGGAAATAAGACAGGTGGGTGGAAATAGCAGCACTCTTAGATAATAGGGCATTTCGGTTTTTAATTTTTTAAATAAGATTTTACTTTTTTGCCCCTCAATTTAACAGAATATTTGACAGACTTTGACGGTAGAACCATCTTGGTACTAAATAAAAAGTTTAAGGACGTTTGAATTGAAAATTTTAGTTGGTGGACCAAAATGATACTGGGGCAATAGTTTGGGGACCATTTAGGTCATTAACCCTTGATTTTTACTTCCCATACCCATTTTGTTGGAAAGCAAACACACTATAAAAGAAATGTAATTCTGGATCGGATCAAATTAAATCATAGTTTGTTTGGTTAAATCCGATTTGATCTATTTGGAAACCGCTTAAACCGAATCAAACTGCTTCTATTAATCTTTTTATTGGTATTTCTTATTGAATATCATCATTTAATATTACGTTTTATTTCGTATATTAATATCGGTTACTTGATATGAAAAACTAAATAGAGATTTACACATGCATTTAGGTTTGTGTGCAATTACCACATGAACAAAAAAGTTTACAATTAGCCGCCTTGACTTTGCTCCTTGTAGCAATGTGGCACATGCCGTCAAAAATTATGTTAACTACTGTGGGTCATGCATTTTTGTGGACGAGGAAGCCATGTAAGCAATGTGTGGACAAAACCTAATTTTTTGTTTAAAAAATGTTTAATAGTAGCAAGGTACTTGTAGCTGAAGGAGTTAAGAGCATTTATCACGAACACGCATGGATAACTTGAACAATAATCGCATTTGCCTAGGACTTTATAGTTTTACTTTATTTTACCATCTCTAGCATAAGCATATCTCGAGTATCCTGACATATTTCTCTGGATGGGATTATTAAAGTGCTCCTAGGATTAAGAATATATGTGTCCAGATTATAGTTACTCTTTCTTTAACATTTGGATTTTAATCAATGATCCAAATAGAAAATACTTGACTTGCAAACTATCTTTCCAGCCGTACTTCTCTTCTCAATGTTGAAAGAAGTCCAACTCCGATCCCACTTCCCCATAGATTAAAAAAATTGAATCTTAGTTACTTAGCTAATCCACAACTTACAATAACTGGATTAGGCTTCTACATGATAAAGGAGTAGTAGAACAGGGTTAGGTACCCATCAGATTTAAGAAACTCATGGAAACGTGCTGGAAAGATTGGGATAACAACATAATAAATTTGTAATTTCATAACAATGGAATTCCATGAATGTGGAAGAGGACATGATTGACACCTTTTTTTCTTTTAACCGGACATGATTGACACCTCTCAGGTCAGCCCCACGAAAATCAGACATTTGCCATACAGCCCAAAATTGTACTACGCATCTTCTATATCTATTAGAACTTGTTCTACTTGAAATGCAGTAAATACAAAAATAAAAACAGAGAAAAGGAACAGCAAATGACTGGATAGACCTATGTAATCGATGTGTATTCATCAACTTAATCTACTCCATAAATCCTATATCTACCAATCCTAAAAGATGAAGAGCATATCGCTGAACAGATATAATTTCTTCCCAAAGTCCAACGGTAGCATTATCCTGAACACCATTCACAACAAGAATAGCTACTGATAGAATCAGCCTTTGCAGTTGGCATCTTCAAATAGGAGAAAATGGAAAGTATAACCATATCTCCATCCTTTTGATGTATCGATACTGCTTACCTGTCAGACTTCGGTACTAAGTGGTATCTCAGCTTCCTCCTAACAAATAGCGAAGATTATGCCCTTGTTCAGAGAGAACATTATGGGCCATTGAAACCTCTTTCGTATTAAAATTTCCTGATGGCACAATCTGACAAGGCACATGAGGAAATTAATAAAAAATGAGAACCCTAACAATTAAGACTGAACAATAATCACAGGATCTTATGTGGGATAAGTAAAGCAAGATCAATATGCAGAATTTATTCCAAATATTGTTTTTTTATCCTTTTTTGTGTTAATTGTAGACATTACTTGATCATTGCTGGAAGCATCAGCTGCAACTCTTTTAAGCCTTTTTGGTTTGGATGCATTGGTTAGCTTCCCTCCATGGTCTTCATCCACAAAGTTCTGACCAGATACTTCTGTGAGGAGACAAATGATCAAAACCCAAAAAAGAAAGAAGCACATGAATTATTAAAGCATGTGATTGAATTCTCAATACCCAATGGCCAGTTCGCACAAATTAAACAATGAAGCTATGTAATGTTAACTGAGCTCACAATCACCATCTAGCGAAAGGGTGGGTAAAGTTCAGAAAATATATTTTACATGTTCGTATTTGTGATGTGTGGATGTGTGCTTCAGCAAAAGTAAAAGTAGCTACTAATTTACTCGAGAAAAAAACAAAATTTCAGAAAAATTTGTATATTTATAGTGCAAGTATGCGTAGGCATAAATGTATATGTAAGCGCAACATGACCAGAAGACATATACCATGAGGCTTATTAATCTGGGGAGCGTGGAAAGATCAATTAATTTTAGTCAAACTACTACCAGTGCACAAATATAGCAATTAATTTTAGTATCCTGGAAAACAAAACACATTTATTTGCACGATTCTGTATCTCGCATTAACGTGCATTCACATTGTGTGTGTGCATATTGGGGGGTGTGACAGGGCAGGAAATTTGGAAGGAAAAAAAAATCTGAAAGAGCATATCGATCATTAGGAGATGAAAGGAAAGAATTTTCCTAAATAAGCAAAGTTAGTCAGAGTACCTGTAATACTGCCAACCAAATCCTGATGACATACAAGGTTCTGCTCTGAACTTCTTGCTGATGCATGTAAGTTTTTTAAAGTCAGCGTCTTAGGAGATGAAACAGTGCAGCTTTTGCCTGCAAGAGTAGAATGACATCTGAATGGACTTCTCATAGTAACATGAGAATCAGCTGTGCTTTCCATCAAAGTTTCATTCCTTCGAAGGTTGATCTTCTGCAAGCAGCCATCTTGAACAACCATGAACTGCGAATAACCCAAAAAAATAATGAACGAGATGACCAAAATGGGCCAATACCAACATGCTCACACACAACCAAAAGAGATAAAGCAGATTTGACTCTGACCTGGTCAGAAGAATTCTGAGTCTTGAATGAGACCTCTTGCAATGAATGTGTCCCTCGAGCATTCTTTTGTTGATGCCAGTCACGCAAACGCATGGAATGGTACAATGCATTAACAAATGATGTTTCCAAAGAATCAAGATACAAATTGTGCTTTTCATTTGTCCACTCTGTGGATGCACCCTGCAATGGAACATCATCGGTGTCAAAGGCTAAACATATATAAAAAAGACAGGTCTCTTAGAAGGCATAAGACTAAAACCTGCATTTGGGAATTATATATTCCAGATTATTGAGAGAAAAAGAATATTAGATATAATGGTCTCAGTAAAAAGCTACAGATTTATTGTTGTTACACTTCAACATGAAACCAAATTCCTAAACTAGAACGTGCATAAATGAGGAACTAAGATAGGGAGAATCATTACAACCCTCAAGTCCAGGGGACCAGGGACCTCTACAAAACCTTAATACGAAAGGAATTTGACCGCCACTGCTTTATAAAACACTCAAAGATCTCAGCCCTTAATTTGATGAGATTAAAATCCATGACGCAATCAACTCAGTCAAGTTGTGGATATAGATTATCATGAGCATGTCATCTCTCACACTAGAAATAAATTGATCATTGATTGTTCGTCTACTACAAAACCTTCTGCCATATACCCCTTAATTCAAATCGTTTTATCCTCTTTGGAAAAATATATTAACTTACATGTAACAAAAATTAATTACTGCACTGACCTTCACCATATTCTGAGAGGTCATCTTCTTGCAATGGTCAACATCATTCTTCCGTTGAGAATGTCTAATATATATCACAATTTACTTTTCAATAGTTTTACATTGATCTCTAATGGATTTAGACACCAGTATAAAATGTATTATGCTATCTGGTGCACAGATATCTAATAGTTAATTGGGAATCTTGTTGAGATAAAGTGGATTTCATTCTTCAGCATGCTTCGATCATCTCGAAGTATCATCTGTTCTACAGGATTATCTAAGCGGCCTTTCAGAACATCAAAAATGATAATTAAATGTCTCTGTTTCTTGATAAAGCAATAACAAGAAAAGAGCATGTTCCCAATATTTATTGGCATTCTCTAAACTATTCTAGAAAAATATTATTTGAGAACATAACCAAAGAAACAGGCACTAAAGATCTAATTGAATGGATTGAAAAATAAAATTCTCAACCTTTTGTTTCTTGTGCTCTAGACTGTTTTTCAAATACGTCACCTTTCCCTAAAGATCTAATTGAATCGATAAGGAGTAAAGTTCCCAAACCTTTTGTTTTTTACAATTCATGTACCACCCAAAAAATCAAAGTTAGCCACCTCCTTATCCATTTAACCGTATTTCCCGAAACTGCGCAGAGGGAGGGGTCGTGATGTTCTCTTAGGCATTATGCTGCACTAGAAGCCGCCACCTGGTCCCAGATTCTTGATTTCAGCTGGTCACCTTTTGCATGAATCAAAATTCTTTCCAACTAGTCACATTCTGCGTTAATCTAAAGGAAAACTTTATTTTGAATACTATAAGAAGTTGTCTCCAACACCTCTGACCACCATGAAAAGAAGCACCTGTAACACATGCCATTTCATTTCTAGAAAAAGATAGGTTGAGTCCTATTATAAATGACAGTGGCTTATTATAACAAAGATTTCATAATAAGTTTTGTAAAACACAAAACTCCACTGCGTCAAACCAAAAGCAAAAGTTGAAAAAGGAAAAATGACCGGAAATAACGTCCATATAAATTACCTATCATGGAAAACAGAAAGCGAAAAAATGCTTCCATATCTCCAGCTCCAACAAATTTAAATTCTTTTTTTATTCTGGTCCTAAATAGGCAGCTAACTGTCAGAGTTAAAGGAAGCATTCAAAATGTGACATCCAATCTTGATTCAATTCTCAACTCAAATTTCCTTGCATAAAATAGAAGCCTTAACGAAAGAGTTCAGAAAATTATCTTCATCACTATGAATCTACTGCAGCTCAAAATAACTTGACACCAGCACCATAAATGTCAAAGACAGCAAAACAGAGAATTTAAAACAAGAGGTATCACCAAAATTTCAGGAATAAAAAATAAAAATGAGACCCTACATTTCTCAAATTTAATCACACAATATTGTTTCTATACGAGAGATCTCATTCTTCTGTATATTTCATCTAAAACTCTTATTTACAGTAAATAGACCGAAGATAAATACTTGAAAAAATAAAAATTTATTCTAAAAAATGACATGCAAAACACAAAATGACGGTCCTAAATCAGAAAACAGCTCGCAAATCTCACAATCTGAATATCTACCTGAAAAAATTCATTAAAAAAAAAAACTCAACCAATCAAACTTCAATAAATACACTATATCTCACCAAATAGCAAAAGCAGCAATTATAACAAATAATCATACATAAATATTAACGCAAAAACAAAAAACAAACAAATACAGGTAGTCAATCAGAAGAAATAATAGCAAGAAAGTGGAAGGAAACTGAAGAAAATGGAATCTACCAGTGTTGCATGCGAGCAACAAAGAGGGAGCTCCTCGGAAGCGTCGAGAGAGAACGACGACGACGACGACGAGTTGGAGATGGTCCGAGTCAACTCGGGCCGGCGCTCGGGATCCGAATTCGGAAGCGGAATATTCTCCCGGATATTCTCTCCCATCACTGCTCTTCACCTCTCTGATCGGACGGAATGCGAAACGGCCTCGTTTCTGAAAGCTCTCGGAAGAGAAAAGAGAGAGCAAAAGAAAAATGTGCTCCTAAAATTTAGCAGGAAAAAAAAAACCCTCTCGCTCTCACTCCGGGAGGTCGTGAACAATGTGAGTAGAGAGAGAGAGAGAAGGGCTTTTTGTTGTGGTTGGGCCAATAAAGGCTCCAGATGGCTTGCTCTTTACACGTGTTCTCTGTATCAGCAGGTACCACGTCAGCCGGGAGATAATATCTTCAACCAGATATTTGTTTTTTTTTTGGTCAGAACGGCAACAGATATTTTTCTTTGCTGAAGAGCGAGTCCTCGTGTCGTACTCGGTACGTTCGGAACTTTGGGCATATTCGGTTGCAGGGAACTGTAGCTCTCACGTGCGGTGATTGAGAAATTATGTGCGGATTTTTTTCACGGTCGCATTCGCGGCGGAATAAGGTTAAAAATGTATTGGCGGGGCAGAACTTTAGTAGGGATTTTCATTGTCAAGTGACATTGACGAGGTAAAGTGATAAGTATTATTCAGTTAATATAACATACGTCGTAAAATTTGAATTATGCATAAACACTTGTGATGTAAATAGTATGTGCTCATTTTTTGTAGTCGGGGTTGTAGCAGCAAATGGGATCATTGGATCAATATTTGAAGAAATTATAGAATGGTATAGCTCGTATACATATTTCCTCTTTTTAGGAAATATTATCAATAAATATCCACTTTCTTATATTATAAATGTGAACAAATTATACCGCATAGCTATACTATCGTATTACACTATAACTGTTTCAAAATTTGGATAGAAACTTTCATGTCATATAACTGGTATTATTTAGTTACGTTACATAACATGTTAAAAGTTAAGGTTAATAATATCATAGCCTATGGAGTTCCATCCATTTGACATGTAAAACAGGTCCATTTTAATGAAGTTGAGTGATTGGGTTTGATTTGTCGCATATGTTGAGTGATTAAGGCTTGATTAGGCTTGATTAGGGCTCAACTCACTTACTAAGGCTGCGATTTGATTCACTTCTTCAAGACCCTTGTGACATCTCAACTTCCCACAATGACAGTTTTTGTTGCTTTTCCTTCTTCCAAATGGTAAGGAGCCTTATTCCTTGCTATTTTCTGCAACCAATTGAGATGATATCGTATAAAAAGGGAAATTATGGTTTCATTTGGAGAAATGTTTGTGTATCTAGAGGGAACTATAAAATTCAATAATTGTATTCATGGATCAAAATGCAAACTTGGAAAAAAGTTGAATTCATTAACTCATGTAACATGTTTTTGTTGACAATGCGATATCCTACATTACTGTAAACTATGAAGAGAAGATTCAAACTTAGTTGTAACGGAGTGAACACGATGCTTTGGTAAATTGACACGACCGATACATATTAACCGTGAAGTAAAAAGGAAATCCCAAAATATATCCAATCCTCTTAGGGCATATATGAGTGCTTTCTAAAAGTTTTCCTTTATGTGAATGTGAAACACATGTGTTTAGATATTTTGTTGCAAATTGTCCAGGAGACAATGATAAAGTCGCCAAACTTCTAAAGGCATATGGCAAGATTCAAATCTTATAACTATAGTAGCAACATACCCGACTTTTCCAAATTCAACAAATGGAGTGATTGATATAGAAAATAAAATAAATATGAATTAAATTTATAATTTACACTTGATAAAATATTTTTGAGATTTAGATAGAAGAAGATGATTGCCGAACCCAGCAAGCGACCAACTGTGCCCACTGCCTCAACCTCATCTTCACCGTCTCCGCATCACCAACTTCTGAAACAAAATATCAAGAAAAATCAACAATTATAATCCGTCGGATCAAAAAAGTCCACGGTCAAATCAATCAATCTGACGGTGTATATCAACCAACCTGTTAACACTCTCTTACTGCACTGCGTATTTACAGCGTGGTAAAACTCCAAGGCGGGTAAAGTATCGGACAGTTTCGGGTCGATAACGGGCGAATCGAACCCGAACCCGAGCTCAATGCACGCTTTGAGCTCCTCCAAATCGTCTTCCGAGACGCTTTTGCTGCGATTGAGGCGGCGCGCGCTGCAGCTGCTCTTCCGGCGCTGCCACGTCTCGTCGCGGAGCGTATCGGGCGACCAGGAGTTCTGCTTGTAGAGAGGTCGAGGCGGTGGCGCGTGGGTGTTCTCCATGGGCTCGCCGCTGGAATGTGTTATGCGTCGTCGTTTCGGTGGCGGCCGGAGCGGATGAGGGAATGGGATTTTGTGTAGGTTAAATTGTAATATTATCCATGGGAGTTTGCCGGTTTGGCGGCGGCGGGAAGGGTTTTTATAGAAAGGGTTTGATTCGTTGCCACTTCAGAATCGAATTAAGAATGAGGTAGTGGTGGGCCATGGTAGAGGGTTCTACATAGATGACAGTAAGGTCGTAGTGGGTCATGGTTGGTGGGCCTTAATTTTAACTTTTAATCTAATTATATTTTTATTTTCAAAGTTTGAATTTCCAATCCTCTTTTAATAATAAAAAAAAAATACATATATTTATCAAAGTACATCATAATTAATTTAATGTTGTTATAAACTTATAACATTTTAGGACGGAGCATGAATATGACTTCCTTCCTTTCCAACCTTCCAACTACTAATTTGGTTCAATCCACACATGTGGTATTTACCCTTCCAACTTCCCCTTCTCCTCAAGTTTTTAATACAAACGATAGTCTAAATTACAAGGAGAGGAGGTTTCTCACACTACCGGTGTCATGAGGGTTTGAATATGAGACCACTAGTCAAGGAACTCCCAAAGCAGGCGTCTAAAACTAGACATTGAAAAATACCCAGAAAATAGATATTTGTTTTCTAAGGAAAGAACCCATGTATGCCTCTACGCCTAAGCTACATGTTAGCCCTCCCAAGATTTATTTATTTATTTTCTTTCTAGTCCATGGTGTCAAAAGTGAAGCAAGGCGACTGGACGCAAGCTGGCAAATGGAATGAGTCATAACTGATGTGGGATCAACAAATCAACAGGTTGTATTCTTTCTTGCCAAAATGCTGGCTTCACATCCAAGCATCAATTAGGCAGTTGGTGCCTCTTGTACATTTGACCATGGCTTTTCTAGTTCAACTGGCACCAAGTTGGCAAAATCATTAGCAATGTGTTTGAATGAGGCACTTTGAAATGACGGGACTTCAAAGTGAATAGATTTTAAAGTGAGGGAACTCCAAAGTAATGAGATTTGATTGGATAATTTCTTGTAAATATCAAATTTGTTTGTTCCTTTTTTGGACTATTCAGTTTATTATATATCTATCCCCTTTTTTTAATCTGTTTTTCTCTCTCTTTTTTTGTTGAGATATTCTTTTCACTATTTTTTTTTCTCATTGTTTTTTTTTTGTACGTTTCTCTATTTTTTTTAAATCTCGAACCTAAGCAGGAACTTCCTGTAAAGTAATAACAATTTAGGTTTATATGTCATCAATGAGGCACAGAACAGATGAAACAATAATACATTAATCTTCACCAATGAAACAATAGTTATAAAAATAAAAATTATCACTATCCTGACTTCTTAATCATTTTGATCAGAAAACGTCCTTCATCCAAGCCTAGCACTCAGCTGCAATCTTGCACCTAGACTGAGAAAGCAAATCATGTACAAAAATTAACTAAAATGAATTATGTTCAAAAATTCAATTGAAATCATAAGCTCTAAAATGTTACAAAAACCCAGCCAATTCATTTTTCTTTTTCCTGTTTCGTTAGATAGGTCTCAAACAACAGAAACTGCATCACTATTTCACGCAGGTAAGCAGCACATAAATGTATCCAATAGTTGAAATTGAACTTAAAAGACAAGAACCAAAAATCCCCCTTTGAATAAAAGGAAATACATTGCTTGAGAGCAAAACAGAACGAAAGCAATCGAGGAAAACTCCTCTTGGGAAGAATAAACAGTTGCATGATAAACAAACAACTCTTGGCTCACAAAAGAACACAAGAAGGTAATTTCAATATGCGTTCCCTTAGAAGCAAATTATGATTTGGATTATAACTTGCATCAACTAAACCAAAGTCCAACTACTTATTATGAGTTACATAGCCCTCCTGGTGGTTTTCCACAACCACATGCTCAATTGAATCACAAACTGTCAATATAAAAACAAAACAAATATCCAAAACAAATATCTCAATCATTCAGAACTATCAAGCACGCCAACCACACAGATCTCCTAATCTTACATCATTCAGAACCATCGCTCACATTAACCAATCTTTACTTAAAAAGAAGAAAGAAAAAGAAGAAGAAAGTACAACTCTCACTGGTAAAAGATTTCATAAAATGCAAAGCTAAAAGGCAAGGTGAAGGAAGGAGGCCATGAGAGCAACTCTTGTAGTTAACAGTGAGAGTTGCTCTCATGGGCAACATTGTATTCAAAGAGCCTATTGCTTCACAATTGTATTCAAAGAGCCTAATGCTTTGCCATTGTATTCAAACCAGCATTTTTAAATATCTAAAGAACATATTTATCTGCAAATTTGTATATTTAAGGAGCCTACTGCTCTGCCTTTGAAATTTGTTATGACACTTTTCAGAACAGGTCATGCACTCATCAACTCAGCCTAACCAAACAACTAGAACCACATATAATCAGATTAGCAAAGAAGCATAAACATAGAAATTAACAGGACATTTTCTATGACTTAGAGACTACATATCACACTTCCTGTTTTACCAAATGTCTATTTGCACACAAATTAATAATTGCCCCTTTTTTTTGTAAGTGTGCAAATATAACCATTTGCAATTTAAACTTAGCTGCAGCCCCTATTCCAACTCCACTTATGACATGCTTAATGTCTTTGGTCTATACTCCATAGTAGGTTGAAAATCAATTTTGGTCTCATAGTCACACCTTATGAACATCAACTCACTTTTCCTTCGTTTTAATATAGAATCTGATTTCCCTTTTTCTCTCATATTGGGAATTTCACATCTTATGCCAATTACACATTGCTCCCTCCAGCAAGTGGCAGTCAACATGGCAGCACTTATAATCAGAAAACTTTATATGATAAAGTTACCATCACCACCATCAAATGATGTTTGTATCCACTCCATTTGTTTAGATAGAAACCGTTCACTTATTTAGCAAAAGACAGTTATTGCTGTTATATCCTGAAGTAGAAATCATGGATAAAGAGATGAAGAACAAGAATTAATACTACCCCAACTCAAATATATATCTTTTTTTTATAAAAAATTTGTTATTTTGTGTGTGAATATTTTGTATCTGAACCTTGCACTTCTCCACTTACTTGCAGTCAACACTACCCAACTCTCCAAATCTGAACATACACAAAAGGCAAAGTGGATACCCTAACCCTTCATCTGAGAAACTCTAACCCAGTCAAAATTGAACCCCAAATCCATCACAAATTGAACCAAAATCAGAGAAAAGAAGTTGGAATGAAACATTGAATCCAATAATCACAGAGAGAAAAGGAAAGGGATAAGAATTTGTACGGTCGTTCGTGATTCGTCAGCGTTGGTCGTGGCTTGTCGGCATTGGTTGTGGTTTGTCTCATTTGAGGTCATTCATCTCGTGAAGTTCTTTTCTTTGGGCTTCACAAACAGGGTAATTGGGCCACATGGACTTCTAAACAGACCCTAGAAGAATACAAAAATGTACCTTCCATTCTTACATGATTGATATTTGGTTGTCACCAATAATCCCCACAAGAGCAAGCTCCATCCTTGAAATGATGAAAACGGTTAGAATCCCTTACAATGATCTCCCTCTCTGTAATTACTGATATGAACTTGGTTGCATTGTGGCAATCCCCGCAAACCCGCAAGTTCTTGAAGATCCGGATGGGAGTTTTCGGAGGAGTGCTGATGAGTCCGAATGCAATTGCCAGTCTCTCGCTGTGGCTATTGAGGATGTGCTCCTTCTCATCATCCTCAACATCCTGCAACACAAAGCTGAAGTCGGGAACGTAACCAAGGCTCTTCATTTTCCCAGTTAGATCGCTCAACTTCTGGTATATCTCCTGACATTTCGGATGAGATTGATTCGCGGTATAAAAGACATCGACGTTGTTGTTAACTTCTATTGAGCTCCACCCAGGAGTTTTTGACAGTCCCCGGTTTCTGGCCAGGGATCTCACTTTCTCCACACCTTCCCATTTCCCGGAATTTGCGTAAATATTTGAAAACAAAACATAGTAGCCCACATTCTCTGAATCAACTTCAAACAAGCGTTCTGAGGCAATACTGCCCAAGTCAACATTCCCATGTATTCTACAAGCACCAAGTAGAGCACCCCACACAGAAGCATCAGGCCGTACAGGCATATTATCTATAAAACTATATGCCTTGTTTAAATTCCCAGCTCTACCAAGCAAATCTACCATGCAGCCATAGTGCTTTAAACTTGGCTTGATTCTGTATTGCTCCTGCATCATATGAAAGTACAATTGACCTTCATCGACCAAACCTGAATGGCTACAAGCTGACAGTAAAGATACAAAGGTTACATGATCTGGCTTAACCCCCTCATCTAGCATATCTTTGAATAGCTTCAGAGCTTTCTCACCATGCCCATGAACTCCATGACTAGAAATTACGGCATTCCAGGGGATCGCAGTCTTCCTGGGAACTTGGGAGAATAACAACAATGCATCATCTAGTCTCCCACATTTTGCATACATGTCAATCAAGCAGGTTCCCACAAATACATCCAAGTCAAGGCAATTCTTAATCACCCGTCCATGAATTTTCATCCCTTGTTGCAAGGCTCCTACATGGGTATATGCTGGTAGAATGCTAACCCAAGTTCCATGGTTTGGAATTATTTCTTTGTACTCTTCCATCATGCGGTACACTTCAATTGCTTCACTTGCAAGACCATTTTGAGCATAACCTGTGATCAAAGTATTCCATGATATCACATCCTTGATAGGAAGTCCTTCAAAAACGGTACGTGCAGAATATATAGCACCCAACTTTGCATACATATCCACAACTGCATTTCCAATGACAACATCTTGCACAAAAAAATCTCTCCTCAAGATGAATCCATGAACAGACCTACTCTTTGCAGAATCACTTAACTGAGCTAAAATTGAGGCCAAACTAACTAGTGTTAAAAAATCGGGTTGAATTCCAAGTAGTTGCATCGAATAAAATAATTCAAGTGCCGTCATTGGATCATCATTCTGCTCATATGCGGCAATTATTGAGTTCCATGAAACCAAATCTCTTACGTCCATTTGATCAAAAATCCTTCGTGCATGCCCCAAGCTACCAAATTTGGAATACATGTTAATCAAAGCATTGCAAATTAACAGATCAAAGTCTAGTCCATGCTTTATGACATACAAATGAATCAACATCCCACTTAAGATATCACCTGATTGTGCACAAGCAGTTAGTAGACTTGTGGCAGTTACACGATCCATCTTTACCCCTTCTGATCTCATTTCAATTAAGACATCCAATGCGTCTGCGGCATTCCCATTTTGACAAAACCCAGAAATCATTGCATTCCAAGAACCCACATCTCGAATCGGCATCTCATCAAACAATCTACGAGCAATGCCAACAAAACCAAACCGGGAATACAAATGGACCAAGGAAGCAGCCACAAAGACATCCCATTCAAACCCAAGCTTTAGAATCTGACAGTGTATCTTCTTCCCGTCAACCAGATTCTGACAAGCTTTCAAGACAGGAGGAAATGTGTAGAAATCAGGTCGAAGACCGGAGGTCAACAAAAACTGAGAGAAACAATCTATAGCCTCACGGAAACGCCCACTGCGAACATAAGCAGATACCATGGAATTCCAGGTATAGACATCTTTCCTTGGTATCAAATCAAAGGTGATGCGAGATAATGACACATCACCAAGGTAGGCATAACGATTGACAAGCCTGGCGGAAAGAAAGATATTTTGAACTTTTCCTGATACCACAAGAAAAGCATGGAGTTGCTTAGCATGGTGAACGTTAGTGCAGGATTGGAATAGAAGGTCGATATCATCATTTTTGTTCTCATTTGCAAAGACATCTGATGAAAATCGCAAAGTATTTGTAGCTGCCGAGAACAATTGGCAACAAAGTCGAAGCGAGGGCGAAAATTTGGAAACATGCCTACCTTTGCAGGTGGGCACCAAACTGGAAACAGATATATAAAACATCAGCCCGGCAGTGAATAAGCTTGAGTAAACAAAATGAACTATGCCAATTGCATATTCCCTTCCTCAACACACAAATGAAACATGATCACTAAAACAGTGAAAACAATAAATATGAAAAAATATAAAATATAATTCTGTATGGAAAATTGATGTTTCATTCAGTAATAATATACAAGGATGCTTATTTCTTGGGATTCCATGGTTATTCCTTAAGTAAAGAAGCTCATCTTGAAATAGATAGACACCTACTGATTGTAATTAGAAATGTTGTGAAATGATCACTCAGCTCTTCCAATCATCCAATCACTCTCACCCATCTACTACTCTAAAGTATAGATTATGAAGAAAGAAAGAAAAAGGTTATTTGCTTAATGTGACTTGAAATTACACCAAAACATAAAATTTCTTGAAGTTAGAAGATTTAGTTCCATCTGTTTTTCAAGAATTTCTCAGCAACAAAACAAACTGTAGGAGGGTGAAGAACAACAGAGGGAATGGAAATGGAGGTTCCTACCTGAACATACATGAAGGTTTCAGAGAAATTCCGAACGTGTCAATGGACTTGCTTAAAAGAAGATGCCTCCCACCAGTGAGGGTTTAGGGTTTTAGATTAGAGATGAAGCTCAAAGAGATGATGAGCTCGTCTCTAATGAGGGGTGGGGTTATATGCGGTGCTATTGAAGCCGTTGGATATATCTGATCTGATCAGAACCGTGGAATTTTAAAGAGGAGTTTCACGTAGAAACGGGTAAAATAAACCCGTATTTCCAATGAAGACCCGACCCGACTAACACCCCTGAACAAAACGAAGCGATGGCTTCGCGATGGAACAGTTCGATGTAAATGGTACACACATTCAGATGGATCAGCAATCACATCCTCTGAAAATCCCTCAATCGCAGGCCTGAAATCGTCCTTCAATATACATTCGAATATTTAAATAATATAGCCGCGCGGCTATACGGTTTACATATTTTCGAATATTTTAATAGTATAGCCGCACGTCTATACTAGTTAAATATATTCGGATATTTTACTAGTATAGCCGCGCGGCTATACTAGTTAAATATATTTGGATATTTAAATGGTATAGCCGCTCGGCTATACTTCGAATTGAAGTAGAACCTCGCTCTACTTTGATAGGTAACTGATCACATTCCGTAGATCCAGTTGAACTAAAGCGCTAACATCCCGAGTGGTATGTATTTGCCATACTCTTTAAATATTCGAAAATATTTAAAGAATGTATCCGTACGGCTATACTTTTATATTTGAATATTTAAAGCATTCTGGTTCATTTTTCATTTGTTAAGGCACCGTAGCACCACATAAAGGTCCCATTGAAGTAGAACCTCACTCTACTTTGATAGGTAACTGATCACATTCCGTAGATCCAGTTGAACTAAAGCGCTAACATCCCGAGTGGTATGTATTTGCCTATAGGCACAAGAGCTTGACGAAGCATGTTTTCGACGCACTCCCGCCTCATGTTTTCGACAAACTGTTGTGCCATGCTTCGAGAATGCCACAGTTCGGAGGTCATTTGTCTGGGTGAAAGCTCCTTCTTCCAATCTCGTAGAGAGGTTTGGAAGAATTGATTGAGAATAACAAGATGATTGACCCATTTTTTCATCGCAACCCTGAATATTACGAGTTAAGCAATACATTGACCTCAATCTTGGAGTCTCTTAGGATGATATCTTTTGCATTTTCAACCTTTTCGTGATCAAGGCAATCCAATTTTATCCTCACATGTAGAGGTTTCATAAAGATGAGATCTCTCAAATCTCTGTTTGATTTTAATAAAAATTGGATGCATGAATCTCTTCCTATCTTTCCACTTTTCTCTAAGTGTAAAATATATGCTATCCTTGCTGCAGATATCTCTTGATTATCCTCTAATAATTCTTTCTTTCTTCTAAGTTTTAAATACAATGCCCCATAAACAATAACCTGCACAATGCCAAGAATGAAGATGCAACCATGGCAAGAGATTCTATTGCTTTCAAACGACCCAAAACAAAACAAGTAAATATATAAACAAAAAGGTGCACACCTCACTTGTCCCGGGGACTAGTATTGACAACACAATCAATGCAAACTTTTCCATCTTGAAATCCTACTACTCCGAAGTTGTACTATCATCTTCCACATTCAACTCTGATTCAAGTGGTGATATCAAAGAGGCAGGATTATCCAATTCATCATACCATTGTTGAGCAACACCAACCTGCCAACCCCAAAGAACTGAAATCGCTCTGAAGACCTTCGTTCATCTTTTATACCAAGGAATACCAGAAGTATGAGAAAAATACCTGGTAACAAACTAAAACATTGAAAATGATCAATCTCTCACTGATGTCCATCAGCGCTGTTAAATCAGCCAGAAATAACATGATGTTCGTGATAAAACAATTCAGCAATTCATTGTCACATAATCAGAACATGGAAAGTATAAAAGAAAATTGGAATTATAAGGAAACTAGTTAGCATATTGTTGTCTTTGTAAACATACACAGCATAAAACTTTCTCCAAAGAGGAAGACAACCAATAAGGTATTCCAAGGATGCCAAAATTTGAAAACTTGAAGGTCGAACATATTCCAGATTCTTCACTTAGTTTCAAAATCCTGTGTCCAACTTCAAAATTACATGCATTGAAATGAGTAATTGAGTATTGTAGACAAAGTACAAAACAAACTCACTTGAAGAGAAAAAAAAAACATCCGGTAAAAATGGTACCCATGATGTCTCAAAGGATTACGTGACATTAAATGAGAGACACTGCATGAAGAGGCACTATAGCGACACCAAAGAAAACTAAAAAATATATGAAAAAAATCTAGCAATGTACTCATGCTCACAAGTCCAACTGAGACACTGTTTAAATATTTTCGAATATTTTAATAGTGTAGTCGTACGGCTACACATTATATTTAAATAGTATAACTACGCTTTAAATATATACGAATTCTTAGATATATTCGAATATTTAAGAAGTATAGCTGCGCAATCATACTTTTTAAATATTACCAACTCTAAATATTACACAAATTTTTATGAGTGTTGCTAAACGAACCCTAAAATTAACTGAGTACACCATACTACCAAACTATTTATTGAATTACTAATTTACCATAGTATAAAATGACCAAAAAAGATATATTGAATTGTGAAACGAATATCATTTTAATAAGTACACCATACTCATCGTATTTAGCCCTAATCAAACGTAGAGAAATTTTTGTATTGCTTGATTCCAATAAAAGGATTTGACAGTTTGTTTTAGTAAAAGGATCTTGTTTCAAGTACCACCTAATGAGCTATATAGATTTTCTCATCGAATTCTGTCGTTCAAAATGACTGGTGATGAAGGAATCCTTTGAGTTTGACCCTGCTTCTTTGCCCACCAATCTTGATAATTTCATTGATTTGAAAAAGCATAACAGAGCCATGAATATTGAACCTAATGGTTTGTCCCTTGAGTTCCTAAAAAGTGAAGGCAAACTTGTAATGGGTTATGGGAGAGTATGCACAGCTGAGAAACAGGAGAATTATTTGTTTTTTTTTATTTATAAATTTCCAATAAGACAATGAAATAAGATTTTATTTGTTTATTTTTATCTATATTGCTATTTGCCTTTCTTCGAGATCTATGCATTGATGTTTCTTTTTTTAAATTCTCCTGTTTCTCAACTGAATTATGAAAGAGAAACTTCAATGCATAGATCTCGAAGAAAGGCAAATAGCAATATAGATAAAAATAAACAAATAAAATCTTATTTTATTGTCTTATTGGAAATTAAAATTATGCACACTTTGATATCCTTATAACTCAGTTTGTTTCTTGTGTGCATGTGCACTAAAACACCGTTGAAAAGAGAAGTAAGATGATGAAGCTTTGAATTGAAGGAGTTAGCAAATCTACTTCCACAGTAGCTTACAAAATTAAAGATTTTGATGCAAACCCAAAGTTTGGAAAAAGGAAACGAATTCATGTAAAAAGAGAAACCTGATTTAGTATTGATATTCAGGTTTGTTTGATAGATTGTATTAGGGTGTATTGTGAGTATTTTTGGTAGTTAAAGATGGCGTACTTAGTTAATTTTACATTTTGATTAAAATATTAGAATGTACTTAGATGATAGAGTATACTCATTTAATTTTGAAGTTGGTTTAACATCACTCATTTTTATTTACACCAAAGAAAACTAAAAAAATGAAAAAAAAAAATTCACAATGTACTCATGCTCCCAAGTCCCAATCCAAATGAGGCAGTGCCCTCAAAGTTTGGCCAACCGATCTGATCAGAGATTCCTCAACATTCTTAAGCAGGACGTCCTCCTCCATGCGCCACCAAACTCTGTTCTCTTCTTTTTTATTTGGGCCGTAATCGCATGACGCCACCACATTCAGTCGCATCTGAATCGGCTTTCTGGTGCGGGCCCACCATTACTCCTCCCCCATTTTTTTTTAGTACAGAAAGGAATCACAGCGCTACACGTGGAGCTTGTCCTCCCACTAACAGTGCCACAATTTTAGTACCCACGATAGTATCAGAGCGTCCTTTTGTAATTTTATTGTTGGGGAAAGGCATGGCATCTTTTACGACTTTTCACCGTCTTTTATTTGGATCTAAGCTCTTGATAATGGATGGCCCACTATATTCACATGCGCGATTCCTTCACTATTCTTCGATCCCTATATTTTTATCAATTTGATTTTGTTGGATTTTATTCTATACACCATCACACCAACCACATGAGCAAATTAAACCTCACTTTGGGACATAATGTTCTTCAATTAGAAGAATAATAAGTATTTTGTCGTTAAACTCATGGTAGAACATCAGGTTATAAAGAAATGATGCACAAAAGCTAGGTTGTAAAGAAATGATGCACACAAGTTTGTATGTCTGCAATCTCATGTTTTAATATTTGTGTTTATAAGAGGTACGTAAACAGGGGCGAAACTAGAAATTTTTCCAAGGGTTGGGTGGGCTAACTAGCATTCTCTTGAGACTTGGTGAGGTGGTGGAGTGGACAAATTTTTACTCGATTGGAGTCCATTGTAGTCTAGGGGTGGTTTTGCACTCAGACTAACAATGAGAAAGTTATACCAATACTATCAACCATGTTTGATTTCACACATCCAGCTTAGGTGAATAAAATCCTTACAAAACATCTTTTGACTTGCCTATTTTGAGTACTCAATGATCAAAGGAATACAAAACCAAACAATTGAATTACGTGGAGGTGATGCCTTGATAGGGTTCTTCATTAGGCCGGACCGATCCTAAATTTTTGGGTTTGGGCTTGACTTTGACCCATCGTGCTAAAGTTGACCAACTTCGGCCCGGCCAAGTGTTGATCCCTACCACTACCCAAAAAAATATGTGTTCTGCTTCAATTGGATGCATATATAGGAAAGTTTGCAGAACTAGTTGCTATTTCAAGTTGCCAGAAGACGGGGTCTAATTTCAATTTCAAGTACTTCTGGTGATGCACCACCTGGGGAATGCAATGGTGGGAAGGCACCTGTAGATGACAATTTGTTTGTTTCTGATCATTTTCACATTCTTGCTTCTTCATAAGTTCAAATTCTTGGCAATGGAATATTATGTGAGACATTG